ATTTTATTCAATATTCTGCCCACTTCGTGAATTAAAACTAAAATAATTAGAGAGGACCCTTTTCCACTTTTTATACTAATCTGAAACACACAAGTTGTACTATATATTGATCTGTTTTTTAGAAAAACGTCCCTTTCAGGTTTAAAGATATAGAACTGCCAAATCACACATTAAAGGCAGTAAAATGTATGGATTTCACTTTAATTTTAAAAACTTCACAAATTTGGCACAAGAAGAAAAAAATATCAAAGCAAAGAAAATGAGACATAAAAGAGAACGGAAAAAAAGCGGCATCGTTGATGTCTACTGTTGAATATAGTGTAATATACCGTGAAAATCCACAGTGGAGAATCCTGGTCCAGAAAGTGTCGGGACGCAGACGAGATTTTTGCGCCGTACAACGTAACTCGTCGCGCTGATTCCGAATATGTAAAAATCTCAAAGACCGCTTCTCCAGAAAAAAACCATCAAATTTTGTTATGCAACGATTTCGCCAATATTTAGATGGATGCGGATGCGAAGCAGAAGGTGGTATTAGTATGTATATCACTAATGCCATTTTTCGCAGCATCGGCACATAAAATCACAGGATTATTATCAATGGGAAAATGAAGAATGAGTGGAGCTTCAGCTAATAATTTCTTTAATTCGTCAAACGCATCGGACTGCTGTTTGGATCATTTGAATTTATATCTCAGATTTCTTGGCAAATTCGTAACGGCATGTATTGGAGCAGCAGTAGTGACAAATCGTGAAATGAACTTACGATACCAGGATAACGCTCCCAAAAATTTATTAGCTTCTTTCAAGCTCTTGGATTCTTTCAATAAGAGAATGGACGCAATTTTTTCCGATAATGGCTAAATGCCATTGTGATTTACACGATGACCAAGATAATCTATTTTCAGTCCTTGCAATCGCACATTTTTGCGGATTAAGTTGAACGTTGGCACGATGTAGATGAGAAAGTACTTGATTTAAGTGTATAAGGTGTTCATCGAAAGATTTAGAGAAAATTATTATATCATCTAAATAGACGAGACAAAAGTGTCGACAATCTTCTAATGATTTTGATAACACACGTTGAAAAGATGGCAGAGCATTTTTAAGATCTTGAGCCAAAACGTTCCATTCATCTAAAGGTTGGGCTTCCCTTGGGTATACTCAGCGTTTTTGCGTCTTTACTCGAAAACTATTTTTTTGCTATCCGGCTTCATTGTGTCACATTACGACCCCCTTAAATTTCATCGAATCGAGGTAAAAATCTTACCAGAGATACTCAAGACACTGTTGCAGAGGTAATTTTTGGAATTTTATTTTAGACCTTTCTTTACCGGGTTATAGGATTTCTAAAATTGAAAAACTTCGTTTTTGAGGCGTTTTACAGTATTTTTCCTTTAACTGGACTAGGAAGGGTCTTAAAAAAATTTCCAAAAATTAACTTCTACGAAATTACCTTGAGTACCTCTCGTAAAATTTTTAACTCGATAGGACGAAATTTAAGAGGATCGTAACCAGAGATGCAACAGGTCAACAAAATCATGACCGGTACCGACCGGTCACCTGCCGACGGACATGTGTGGACCGGACCGACCGATTGACCGACCATTTTTCAAAAAATTTGACCTGTAAGGGACCGCTGTTTTTTGAATAAAGAAACGAAAGCGGACATCATAAGAGTTTTGTTTTTTCTTAAACCAATAGTACATGAAAAAGAATAACAACTACTACTGTGATGGTGTCTCTAACTTGTCTATTCATCTAATTCTAATATCATATCAATTGATGGTATCCGTTCATGATCTTTTTCATTTGTAAGTAATGCATCATAAACCACATTGAATTTTGTTCCAATTTGTAAATCTGAATCACATATTGTTTTAATCAGCGAGCGTTTACTCCGAACCGAAATATGATCATTAACTGGACGTAAATTATGATTACCATTTTTATAGCCAAGATACGATGGTCTTGCTCTTGGTTGTGAACTTCCTCTAGGTGAACTTGACCAAACAAATAGATAATAATTATTTCTTAATTCAATACTTGTTGTTAGAGAAATGCATGACCATTTTAGTGTAGCCCATACATCATTTATTACACGGGCTGTTTGTTTATAGACTAATATATCATTGTAATCTAAAATATAAACATGCAGTTCATTTGATATTGTCCCGTTTATTCGTAGTGATTTAAGTTTGAATCTTTTTTGTTCATCGGCTAGTAGAAAACGGTAACCATGAGCATAATCTTCAATCTTTAAACGACGTTGATCACTGCTATTGATTGTCGGTAGTGAAAGGGTGATCAAACGGCGAATACCACTGCTATCAGCCAGAAACGTCTGACTTGAGATATTGCCCAACTGTAGGGCATGGAACTTTACTTGAAAAAGAACCGATAAGAAGCAAAAAGAAAGAGCAAAAAGTTTCACAATATTATTACTATTTTGACAAACTCGGATGAATAATGAATTCTTTCTTTCTGTTTGACGAGAGCATTATATTCGTAATAAACTTGTATCACAACATTCGTAATGGAATATATGTTTACTTTTCGTTTTTCTGGTATATGTGAAAAAGATCAGTCCATGAACAATAATTTAACGGCATATCTCAAATGATCTACATACCGCTGCGGAGTTAAACTCCTGGAAAAAATAAAATTTCATTCCGTTTCGAGTCTGTTCGGTTTTAACTGACACCCTACCCCATCTTCTATGAATGACTCCATGTATCTGCTAACACGTTGTGTTCGATTTTAAATTTTAAATTCGACTTTGTTTGTACAAAAGAAATTTGATTTACAACTGCTTTTTTAGTAACAGAAAAGCCCAAGCGTTGGAAATTTGGACTAGCCTATACGCATGTGGTCCTCGAGACTGCCTTTCTGTAACACCATAGCCCAACCCATATGAAGAAAACACGTAACTAACTTACGACGTTACGTGGGCAAGTCCTATCACAACACTTACATGACAAAAAGCAGAATTATAATTCCTCTTAAAGTACTAAGTCTGTTCCCAATAGCGGCGCTCCGATCATCGCTAGAAAACTAGACGTCTCTGAACGTGATCAAGAATGGTGAGAAGGATGTAGAAAAGTGTTCGTATAAATTTAATTAAAAATGTTCGGCTAATTGCCATGAGATTTTTTTGGGTTGATCGGCTAATCGATCCGTGAGCTCTGACAGCCGATCAACCAAAAAACAAACCTCATGGGTTATAAAAGAATTTCTCAATTAAGTCTTCTGAAGTTTTAGTTTTTAAAAATAAAAACGACTAACTATGAACCAAAGTTATATCCATTAACGTTTTTAACAGATACTTTTCTATGTCCGCCATTGTTAACACGAAAAGTCAGTTTTTAAAACTGAAGAAAGCTAAAAAAAGCATTTTTTTGTGAATTATATGAAATATTATTTACTTTGTTTCATATATAATGATATACTTACTTCCTCTTTTCGTTTCTTTCTGTCTCACTGCAGGAGTTTTTAATATTTTTGTCGATATGAGTAATAGAAATGAAACGTGGTATGAAATCATTGGAACGAACAGTGCATGTTGACAACAGTGCATGTGTAGTACCTTAGCTAAAAGAAAGTGAATACATCATATTCAGAATTAAATTGCACTTGTTCACTCTTTCCAATTTTTATTTCTCCTTCGCTTCATTACTAGAAAATGGCGAGATATTAACCGACCAATTAAAAAGAAAAAGATGACGAACTGAGTTTTTTCCAACTTAAAAGAAATGCGTATTTAAGAATTGCCTATGAGCAACCGATTTTTTTTCGAACAAAGCGCAGACATTCACATTTTACTCAATAAAAATATTTTGTAGTTATGTTCTTATTCGAAAAAGTTCATAAAGTTAATTAATTAATGATTCAGGTGATGTAAGAACGGTTTGTTTGGAGCACCACACATAATAATCTGGATCTTTAAAAAAAGTAATTTTTTCAAAGTATAACCAGGTTTTTCTTATGTTTCTTTAGGATCAATATGGCAAGTAATAATAGCGGTGGGAAGAAAAACCAAAATGAAAGAGACCATTTTCGAAGTATTGCGACGAATGCTTTTCATCGACAGTCAAGCACGTTTTATGAACATCCAATAGCTGATGTACCATTAGTAAGTGATTGTGTGCAAACTCGAAGGATTATAAACTACTATCCGTTCCAAAATACAGTGCGGTGTGCCACTTTTTGAATAACTTCTCACAGAACATAGATAGAGACCTGCGATTTTCGCTGTTCGATAGCCAAGACCTGAGCGGAACTTTTTACAAGCAAAAACAACTTTTGAAAAAATTTCAAAGCTCGGGTTTTCAGAGGATCTTTGGAAAACTAGCTCCGTTCTCAGAGAACTAGCATACAATGTTAGTAATTTTTTTGCATGCGTACATAGTCCGGACGTTAGTCTACAAAATTATGCAAGTCCCGGCTCTCCAGCTATCGTCGTTCGCACGGGACACGCTTTCCTGGAGCACGTATCTATCTCCGAGCAGACATCTCTGAGAATCTCAAAATCCCACGGAATATAGGTGATCGACTATGCTGAGCAAAGTGGCAAGATTTTCTTTTGTGTAGAAACGAAAATAACTTCACCAGAGGCACTTCTGTGAAAAACCGGTTTTCGCTTATGAAAAGTTCCGCTCAAGTCTTGGCTATCGAACAGCGAAAATCGCAGGTTTCTATCTATCTTCTGTGAGAAGTTATTCAAAAAGTGGCACACCGCACTGTATTTTGGAACGAATAGTTAAGTTATGTCCCCTTGTTCGAGTTTCTTTTGCACTTCGCTTGCAAATGAGTACCATCTCTTAACAATCTAACTAATAGGGAAGGTCGATAAGTCTTCTGTTGTATTTTGTTACATAACTATATCCGAAGGATTCTACTAACTATTCTCATTATTAACTTTTTCTTCCTTGACCAACATAACGACTTCTTTTTGTGAGGTTGAGTATTGATCAATTATTTATCTTATTAATTACTAAAATTTGAAAATTGTTAATTTGACAGATTAGAGAAAAGAACTTTGGAATTTCTACAAGATCTTTTAGTATAATTTCTATGTCGTTTCTTTGAGAAGAAGTCTTTTTTACAGCGAATAAGATTATTCTTCTGTCAAAGTCTCACAGTTGGTTTTTTCTGCTTTTAGAATATAAAACGACAGCGTATAACAGTAACAACCACAAATGAACCGAAATGCAAAGTATTTAAACGAAATGATTCTGAAGAGGAAAAAAATGTTATGATGAATTCTCATGTACCAACAACACAGCCAACAGATGATGTAAGTTCGTTTCATTATAGAGAGTAGTATCGGTGAATTTTTCGGAACACATCCCTGTCCGAGATGAAGAATATTTTGGTATAAGCTTTATTTTGCCAAAATACGAGCGGAAAAATATTCCACTATAGTGTTCAAACTAAAACTATCGAAGAACACAAAATCAATTTTGTACGAATAAAGATTCGAACATGTGAACTTAACTTTACAGTCAAGTGCAAAACTAAATTTACTGTTCTGTATCTATATTCTGTACAACAATTGAAGTTGTGCAATAGACCCGATATTATCAGTAGTAATTTTTTTCTTTTCTGGTATGCCTTTTTGCGTTCTGTTTTGGGTTATAACATGAGAATATTTTCAAAATTTTGCTTCTTTTTCGAGTTTTGTTTCGTGTTATTGAATGAAAAAATCTCTATATTAGGATCACTAGTACCAATAGTAACTAACTTAGAACCCGTTCTACGCAAAAAATCCAAGCCTATTTCGAGTGTCCTGAGATGACCCGATCGTAGTTGCTCTCTGTATCACTATATAGTCGACTGTATTTGTACTTTATTTTTCACTTCGATTTAGAACATTTCCATTCCAAGTTTATTTGAAACTGATACACTCATGATCACCACTGATCAACCCGATCATGTTATTCCATTAGATTTATCTATTTATTCACCTACAATAACTGTAATGAATGTTAATGAATTTGGTTTACTCTCGTATTCAGTTAAATTTAAACATCACCAAGTGTTTAATTTATTAATAATGCATTTAATGTCTGTTTGGATTCTATTAACAGATGATTTAAAATTCAGTAGTTTAAGTGGTAATGATAATATGATTGAATTCGGTTATGGTTATTATATGAATCTGTGTTATGGTGCCTTAATCTCGATGAACAAATTTCTTTGTTATTCTGAAACGTATTTCTACCAAAAGAAGTCAGTATGGAAATTGTTATTCAAACGAGATCAGTTTGCATTCGTAATAGCTGATCATGATAGGCAGACAATCCATGAGATTAAAAAGGTCATTACAAAGGAACACATTAAACCAGGGGTTGTTATTAATATTTCAGAAAACGGATTTGTGGTGTATGTTTGTATCAAAGGAAATCCAGCCGAATATGTAAAAACGAAAGGTATGGGTGAAGTTTCAAATACATGTTGGAGTTCTTCCGACTTCTCAGTGTACAGACATATAAGAAAAAATTTCTCGTTTGTAAGCAATGTCATGTTGACCTTATTATAAATTAGCAGAGAGAAAAAAGGATAGAAGCGTATTGAAAAAAGAGTAATTCCAAAGCATAAACTATCAATAAGCTTACAAGGATAATTAGTAGAAGAAGGTATAGATTTGTTTAAAAAGAAGACTGTATTCAGCAACCATGTTCTCTAGAGTTTAAGATTTTAACGTACACACAGTGAGCATATAGGCGGACATTTGGCCGAAAATCGAAAGTGAGGTTTTTTGTGATTTGAATAGTGTCAATATACTCCGTTAAACGCGCTATCCAATGGCGTAAAAGACTTTTCCCGCCGGAAAAATTTAGTATAGAAAAAACCGAATATATATTACATGAAATTAATAAAATGAAATGTTAACAGAGCAGCACTTGATTTTGCATACAAGAGCTTCCTCCTTACAGTAATAAGCTATGGCAGTGAACTGTACTCATTAACAACAGAAAAAAACTTAGATCAGTTACAATCAGCGCAGTATCAAATTGCTATAACGATGACAGGCACTATGAGCGGCAGAAATGCTAATAAAGCACTTAACGATCTTGGATGGCTCTCGATCAGGAACCTATTCGAAGGAAATCGCATGTGCATGTTTTTTAAAATTAAACACGGTCTAGTTCGCGTGCATGCGCAGGATCATATCCATTTCTTACCGCATAATGCTCAATATTATCGTCGTAGTAACACTAGAAATGATATGTACGCCTACAGCGATAAAAGTGCCACTTTTCAAGATCTTTTTTATCTAACTATGATTCGAGAATGGAAGGAACTTACAGCAAAATCACCGTCGCTTTGTTTAAAAAAAAGTTCTATATTCAGAAAAGAGCTAAAAATCAGTTTAACAGGGAACCATTTAAACATACCATCGACAACTAGTCGACGCACAGAAGCCCGCTTTTGCCGTTTAAGAGTAGATTTGTCACAGTTAAACTCTTATCTCTTCCAAAGAAAATGTGTTCCATCCCTCTAATGTCTCCACTGTTTATCTGTGTCTCCATCAGTATCTTTTAAAGAAGCCGATAATCAATTTTTATTTGATTGCTCTAACTATTCTTCTCATAGAAACGTTGATGAATCAATCTAAAATACTAAATATTCCATTTAATAAAAATGCTATTCTATTGAGATTATCCTTCAACAAAACTAATTATTTCAAAATATATGAAGCAGTATGTCGATTTATAACTAACATCGCCCGCTTTAAACTCCATTGTGCTACCAAAAACTTCCATTTCGCGCCTACTCCTATGACTCTCGCTCTTACGTGTGGTATTTCAACTGTATGTGGTTTTTTTCTCTCTTCTCATATATGTTTTCTTCTCCGTCATCTTCACAGTAACGATATAAACTTGAGATTTCTTAGTCATGTATTAAGCAAACTATGAACATGTAAAGTGACAATTGTCTCGATTTGTTCTGTACGAAATAAAAAAAGTCTATATAAAAAAAATAAGGAAAATGTTAGAAAATAGGATGGATACAGTGTAATCGCGAATCTGCCTACATCCACCTTCAGAGACACTTGAAAAATAGGTCAAAATGTTCATTAGCATACCTTGCATCTGTCATCGACTCACAAAACCATACAACTCTATCTATATATAGTTATGGATTTTCCAAAACCCCTTAGTTTATGAGGCATTTTGCATATTATTCGGTCCAGAATCACTTGTATTCAAAAATAAGGTGATATTCGGAATCAACGTGAAAAACTGCATCGAATGATATATAGTTTCTTAGTTTTACAAATAAAATATTTTTTGACAAAAATTCAGGGCAAGGGTTCCCGTAAGGAATCTTTTATCGAAAAAGTTTGTTTCAAATTCGACCTCTTTTTACTTCTGCTAATATCTGATACATAATAAGACCATATTATGCTAAATAATCATTTTTTAACTCAAAAAACCAGATGCCCACCTGTTCTATGGAAAAATGCCCACTGTGGTCTGCCAACATTATTTAATGAGATGAATATTATTAAAAAAATACCTTACTTCTCGATGTGCACAACTAAATTAAACTTACCAGATCTGATAAATCTACCTATTTATATAGAAAAATTTTATATGATAAAAGAGTGCTTCATGTGATGTTGTTGTTGTTGTGAAACAAAAATTTAAAATACGAGTATGATTTGTTACGTGGAGTTTTTTTCTTTCTTTCTTCTGTGTTGTTGGTATTTCACACAACCTTGACAAAAAGAGGAACAAAATTATGTAATGTTGAAGAACGAGGAAAAAAGGTTATTTCCATTGAGGTAAAGATGAGTAACAGAAGCATACTTTGCCTATATATAAAGTCCTCCATAAACGAAAGAAATTAAACTTGTCTCTTAAGGAGACAATGTTTAAATTACACGGTTCAAATATTTTCTAGGACCAAACAAAAGGTATTGTCGAGTAAATAATCGTGAAGTTCAACCACAATTCTCAGGCCTACGTTTGGCTATTTCTACAACAAATAAACTTGATAAATACCTACATATTGCAGACACGGCAACAAGAAATGTACAACAGACATTTAGAAAATTTATTAGTTTCTTCCAATTCAATAAAATCCCAGTTTATTTTAGCTCTATTCAGTTCGATAGAAAAGAATCAACTGCTAATTGTCAAGCACGATTTCGAACATTTTTGCCAAATTATTCATATCAAATGTTATTAACTATTGGTGGTTGCCGTCTTCAAGAAAAGATGACACATCGTGTCAATCAACAATTGTTAGCATTACAAAATGATAACGAATTATTTTATCATGTTTGTTTACGATTGATACGTTATGCATCAAAAACTTATTTTCTTGATATATTCAACGAAATTCAAAACATCTTAAAGGATTATAATGAATTTTATATTCATAGCCTTTTTCGTCAATCAGAAAAATCATCTGAAATGATACCATATGTTGTAGTAACACCAACAATGACTAAATTTTATCCATTTAAACGCGCTAAATCAAATCGGATATTTCGAGCCACGGACAAATTCGGAGAGATCAAGAATTTTGCATTAGTCGAATTTAGAGATGATAACAATAGTCAACTTCAAACAAGCGATTTTTGTGATCTTATACAATTAATTGACAATTGTCTTGATAAAGAACATGGGTTACAAATTGGCGGTCGATTCTATCAATATTTCCACCATGCACAATCTCAATTAAAACAAAAACAACTGTATTTCTACTATCATGATAAACAAAGTGGATTTCTATCAATTGAAGATGGTTATGCATGGATGGGCAATTTTACAAGTATACGAATTCCAGCTAAATGTGCCGCACGAATGTCGCAATGTTTCTCTACTACCGAAGCAACCATTCGTGTAAGTTTAAAGAAAACAATAACAACAAATGTACTGACTTGTTTCATTTGTTTAGATTCCAGCTGAATTTGTTTCATACATTCGTGATCTATTAACTTTTGATGGCAAACATAAATTTTCTGATGGTGTAGGAAAAATATCGAGTCAATTAATGAAAAAGGTAGTATTTCCAAGTCTGTGAAAGTATAGTTAATATACTATCTGTTGTCTCTTTCCAGATACATAACTATCTGGATTTGGAAGGCGCTGTTTCTAGTGTAATACAAATTCGGTATGGTGGATGTAAAGGTACATTAGCATGTGATCCGAGTTTAGATGGAGAAAAAACACAAATCTTAATACGAGATAGTATGAGAAAATTTAATAGTGATGATGATATATTAGAAATGTGCAAACGGTCTATACCACGTAAGTTGCAGAATCTCTAACTGGTTTTTTAAGAAAAAGAGGAATTATGAATTAATATTAGAGTAAAAAGCCAACGAAATACAAGATAATTTTGGAACATATATATATTACTAAACGTGTATGAACATTCTTTTCTCCATCTGCTATATTGTTTTCTTCTTTCTTCTTTTACCAGATCATTCTATTGTCATCACAATATGCGTAGCTCTTGTTTTCTCTATCGCCAATAATAATGCGGATTGTCTCTCTTTCGGTGGGTAGAGATAGTATAAAATTGCTGATGTCTTTCTTTTTCAAATAAACAGCTTATATTAATGGCAATAACGTTATTTGTATTTAATTATACACGAGACAAAAGCTTGTCCTATATAGTTCCTTTTCCAGCGTACATTGACCAGAGGTACACTTTAACTTAGATTTAGTTCCTTAACACCGTGTGTATGAGACTTTCACCTTCGAGCTGTTCATCTTTACTGTGTCACAATGCTTTTTATCGTTTCAGGACCGGTTTATTTGAATCGACAGACTATTATTCTCCTATCAAATAGATTAATAGGAGATTCTATATTCTTTACATTACAATTAAAGAATATTTTGTGGTTAATGAAGTCGTTCATTTCAACTGCATCAGCAATTAAATTAATACATGAAAAAATTCTTCCAGTCTTTTCATTAGAAGAACTTTCAAAGCATCCAGCTTTATATAATGAACCATTCTTTCGACGATTGATCTCTACAACATGTAGGAATGTTATTGATACACTCAAAAATCAAGCACATATCGCTATTAACACATCCAAAGGACGCTACATGTTTGGTGTTGTTGATGAATATGGTATACTCAAATCGGGACAAGTTTTCATCCAATATACCAGTATGAATGATCGAACAGCGACAACAATCTTGAATAATCAAAAAGTAGTGGTAACAAAGAACCCCTCTCATCATCCGGGCGATCTGAGAACTTTTGAAGCTGTTGATGTAGCACAGTTACGACACTTGAAAGATTGTATCGTTTTTCCACAACATGGTTCGAGACCACATCCACATGAAATAGCTGGTAGTGATCTTGATGGTGATGAGTACACTGTTATATGGGATCAAGATCTAGTTCCTTTACTAACCGAAAATTTTGAACCATATGATTATGATTCAGATACAAAACAGATAGAATTAGATCGTCCAATAACACGAAATGATATAAAAGAGAATAATTTAACAATATGGCAACAGGAGAATTTAGGACGTCTAAGCAAAATGCATCTGGTTTATGTTGATAAATTTGGTGTTAATGATTCTCGATCTAAAGATTTAGCCGCTGGTATTAGTAAAGAACTTGATTCAGTTAAGAATGGTTATCATCCGTATACTGAAGCACAAATTATTAATTTACAAAATGAACTCGGTAAAACAAGATCTGATTATACGGAATACGATAATTATGAATCATATCCTTCTAAACATATACTCGGTAGGTTTAAAAAATTTGTCTGTAGATATCTTGATGACAACTAAAATGTCCAGTACTTCAAGGAAAAAATTAATTTTTTAGTTTGATTTCTCCTTTTAGTTTTCTTTTATGTGCTTTGCAAGTTGATTTTATGATGTTGTGTTATAGGTAAACTCTATCGATCAGTACGTCGAGTCTTGCCTATATTTGAAACGATTAATCACGATGTCATCACATGTGACAAAGCATTTATACATGACAATTGGCAAAAATACTTAGCAGAAGCTACCGCTTTATTCAAGAATTATAAATCGGAACTATTTGAAATAATATATGCACATAATTTTGATAATGAAATTGATTTGTTTTGTTGTTGTGAATCTCAACATGTAAATAATAATGACCGATCTGAAATTCAAGCGACAGCTCAACAGATGGTCAAGAAATTATTTAAATATATATTAGAAAAATTTAATAATGAATTAGATGCATCACACCTTAAAACAGACTGTATATGTCGACAATGTCAACAACAAATGGGCAAAGCATCTGCTTGTTATATAGTCTGTTATAATGAAGCCAAGAATTCTAAAGATAATAAAAACATCATTTTAAGTTTCCCATGGATATTCACGCCATGGTTAATTAGAATAAAGAAAATCAAGCATAACGGTGAAGAGCAGTCAGAAAAACATCTCTGTAACATTCCAATGAAATTCAAAATCTTCTCCAAATATTATAGTACAAATGAAAGTATTATTTATATTAGAAACAAAGTAACAAAACAAGATGAAGAATTAAAGGTTTCTGATGAAAGAATTAAATTTATTGAAATCATTCATAATTGGTTAGATCAGCAAGAAATATTTGGTAGCGAATATGATGAATGTTCTTTGAGACCAACGATATCAAACTCATATTGGAATGAAATTGAAACAAAATTCATTTTATCATCAATAATGAATAATAATATTTATGATACACATCAATGGAATGTTATATTCAAAAAAGAGAAACAAATGTCATGTCAAATGAGTTACAGAACAGACTATTATTCAATGAATGATGAATTGTTAGATATTTGCTTTACTGATACAATTGCTAGAGACGACATACATCTAGCATTGCTGAGTGAGTATCTCATGCATGGTTTCTTAAATATGACTGTTGACCATTAACTGGAATAAAATTCAAAAATTTAGAATGCTAAAATTTGTTGAAAAGAAAATTCTACAAATTGGAACATATCTCATTATGATCAAGAAAACAATACTCATTGTATTTCTTTAATCGTTCGGTTATGCAAATGTTATGCCATCAATAGTTTGGATTTTAACAAAATCAAAAAGCCTGTTTCACGAAACACTATCCTTTGATTTTCTTCAAAGCCAAAATATTGATGGCATAACATTTGCATTTCCATTTTGCTTCTCGTTCTCGTTTTACTAATACAAATTAATCTAGAAACAAAATAATTACCGTTATTCTCGATAAAAATAAACTTTTTAAACCTACCGAGTATATGTTTAGAAGGATATGATTCATAATTATCGTATTCCGTATAATCAGATCTTGTTTAACCGAGTTCATTTTGTAAGTAATTTGTGCTTCAGTATACGGATGATAACCATTCTTAACTGAATCAAGTTCTTTATTACGGCAGTCCGGTCTCACGAGCGATATTCGGTTCGGAATATATCCTATATCCCGAATGAGATATCACAGAAAATTTATATCTTGATCGGGATATTTTTGAAAACATTTTGAAAAAAATCATTACCGCAAAACGTTATTGCATGAATATAGCATAAGAAAACGGATGAAAAACTGAGTCGGAATCAAAGGTGCTCTAGTCTTGGTTTAAGGATCTACCGTTCACGCTTTTTTAAATTCTGGTGGGGATATACAAAACAGTATATCCCCATCAAATTTATCAACATAAACCAAATGCTTAGACGTCCTAAATTCTCCTGTTGCCATATTGTTAAATAGATGTGCACGGGTACTATTTTCGTACCCGTGCCCGATCCGACCAGACAACTTTGTACCCATACCCGACTTATGCCTAAAAGTTTTCTCCTTTTTGTTTTCTAGCTAAAAACTTTTGTTATTCGACTGAAGATGTCGAATGATCATTACATTGTCAAGTAATTCGTTTTTAAATTTTCATGTATTTTAACTAAACTCCTGTATTTTTTTCCTAAATTTTTGTGGGTTTTCCACTAGAACCTTTCGGTTTACGGGTAAATTAAAAAAAAGTAGAACCCGTACCCGACCCGTACCTGACAACTTCTTGCCCATACCCAATCTTCGGGTCGGGTCGGGTTGCACATCTCTATTGTTAAATTATTGTCTTTTATATCATTTCGTGTTATTGGACGATCTAATTCTATCTGTTTTGTATCTGAATCATAATCATATGGTTCAAAATTTTCGGTTAGTAAAGGAACTAGATCTTGATCCCATATAACAGTGTAGATGACCTAAATTCTCCTGCTGCCATATTGATAAAATAATATCTTTTATATTATTTCGTGTTATTTTTCAAAATTAGTTCTACTTATTTAATAATTTTGAGGATGTGAAGGAGTTTACTGTTAGCTTGCTGCTGTTAGCTTTTAGCATATACACCGTATCATCAAGTTTATTTTTGTTTTTCTTTGTCTTTCTCTGTTTGTAATATCAGTAAATGTAATAAATATATGTGACTTTACAGAACTGCCTTCTAAGAGTTATTGCACGTAAGCCACGACCTATCACAGCGGAGTGGCCTTCAATCGGTGTTCTCGAAACTTTTCCAAAGTAGAGGGCTTTTGTAGACCAAACATTTTAAT